AATACATACTGATCCACCAGAGCAGCTAGTGTGTCCGCCAGTTAACTGCTGATCTCCTGGTGTAGAGTCCAACATTTAAATCTGATTTATTGATGTAGTGTATTAGCTTTATGTAGTCTACTGTTTATGCCGTTATCACTTTAGTAATTTGTGTTCAATTTCAATGTACATTACACTATTTTGTGTGTTGTTTTAATACGTTTGCCAGCAGAAAACGGTCTGACGATCTCGGTCAATACTAATATGGACTGTGAGTTTCTTTTAGGGAGCATGTAGTCAATTGAATGTTTTTAACATATAATGGTTATATCTAGGAAATTATAGGTAGGCAATTCAATCTATATGTAGATATCTTTATTATCAATACATGCTATACATATTCAGACCTGATGTATTGTGTTTTTTTCCTACAGTAATGATTAATAAAATCAAAGTTAATAATTTAAAGTACTGAGTTGGTTTAACTAAAGGCAGAAAAAAAGTTATTTAGGTAGATGCTTTTGAGAGAAATAGAGAAATGTCTTTTTTTTAAGAAAGTGTGTGATCTTATGGGCAATTACAATTTACACAAATGACATCCAGAGAGAAATACAAACTGTGAGATAAAGTAACATCATTTCACATAGAGATAAAGTATTTTGAAAATACGGAAAAAAATGTTTACCTAAGAAGTAAAGATCCAATATATATTTTTCAGTATGTTTTGAGAATAAATGGTATCAGATCTTAGATAAAATAACTTACTTGCCCTCATCAGTGGTTTATCAGACAGTAAAAGAAGTCTGAAAAGTTAAACATTTTACTAGTTTAATTACGTAATGAGATATAATCAATGTAAAAGAGAGAATAACTTGAGTTTCAGACTTATTTCTATTAATATTAATGGTTGAGAGGTTCAACTTGTTTCCTATTTCTAGAGTAATATTTAACACTAAACTAAAAAAAGGAAATGGTCTTGTTCCTTTGAGACACCAATTTCATAATCGTATTGGTTTTTATTACAAAGATGGCAATATTATCAAAGCTTTTCTCAATGGCTCATATCTGAAGATGGTAAACATATTGGTAATGCTTTTTTTCCCACCATCACTCCCTCTACCATCTGCTATTGAGCGAAACTCAGAGAAACTTGAGCTCCACTTACAAGAGAAAACATTTCCCACAAAATGTGACCCAGTTGCTCACAATATAAAAATGTAGTGTAGAGGCCAGAAAAAGGCTGACAATCTTCTCAGCCCCAGATTTGTTTGTTTGCGGTAATTACACTAATGTTTCCAAATCAATGCAGAAAACATTCATAACTTACTGATGTTTCAATGCATAGTCTCACATCCGCAGACCAGTTCGATAACACAGCAAATAAGCCCTGGAGATCAATAAAGTATATTAAATTCAATTCAATTCAAAGCTAATATTGCTTTCATCTGATTGCCATCCCAATGTCAACAATGTCTTACCAAAAAAAAAGTCTGTAGCTGCTCACGTTATCTTACCGCTATACCGATGTGACCTATTCGGACAGCTCAGACAAGTTCTGCCACGCTGTGCTGCAGGCAGACTGTCACTTCTACCCTCAACTTCCCTTAGTTATAGCTTATACTTTGTTTTAACATCCATCCATTTTTGTTCCCCCCTCCCTGTCTCCACCAAATAGGACTTTTCCAGAGAAGCTTTATGGAGTCCCTCCGCTCACAGTCTCTTAATTAAACATTCCAATAACACCATCTACAGCACGGAGAGGGCTGTTGAATTAAGACGCTGTTGCAGCCTGTGAAATGGGAACGAAAAAACAGCTAACGGAGGAAATGACACAAACTCGAAGACATGATTCACGGACTGCATATTTTTCATTGTGCGGGTTTGAAGAGACATTTTTAGGGAAATTGATTAACTTAAATCCAAATGAAAACTCAGATTTTCTCCAGATTTTTCTGCTTTCATTCTATTCCCTAAAATATTAATTTTGCCATTAAAAGGAAATTTTCCATCCATTTTTTAGAAACCTGGTTGTTAATATAGTTCAGTAATAGTCTAAAGGGTTAATCGGATAATAATATTAATCTCCACGAACAATAGCACATCCTGGTGAGGAGCAGGAGACAGGAACAACTTTCTCGGTAGCCACGGCAGGACACAGAGGACTTAATGTTGTGGCATAATTTGCTGCACACCTTGTTTTGACATTTTGTAGACAGCTGCTTTTAGAAAACAAAACCCAAAAAAGCTAAAGTGGGCAGCAGTGACTAAGAAAAGAAAACATCACATGCATTCCCACTATCGCCTCTTCAAAAAGAGCCAGCGAAAGCACCAGAAACAAGGCCAGCCTCCCTCCATCTCTCTGCCACCTTCCACTACCTGCTATCCCCAGTCGATCCCCAGCAAAACCTGGCGGCAGATGTTGCCATGCTAAGTTGGCTCTGAAGTGGCTCCCCGGCTCCCCGGTCTCGCCGACAACACAGTCAAACCGCATTAGATCTCTTTATCCGTGCCTGGGGCAAGTTCGGCACTGCAGCTGTGTCCACCCCCGCTCTACCTTTGGTGTTGAAGGCCCTCAGGCACAAAATGTGAGACCGGGACAAACAAAAAAAACACCAAAAAAAAAACGTTTCTTTCCCATTTTTTTGGCCTATCTTCTGCATCTGCTGACAATCCAGTGGTCTGGTTCCAGGGTTAGCAATGAGGGAAGATGGAGGGATCAGGGAAAGAGGCTGCTGGGAAAAAAAATCTCTATGGATGAAGCTTAGCAATGAGGTGTGGGGGGCACAGACACCCTGGTCCCTGTGCTGAACAGATGTCTGTGACAACATGCTTCCTTACACCTGTATGAGTCCTTGTAACCCTGAATACGCAGGCAGCTCAAAAATTCATGACCCAGGAGATTTCCTGTCCACCATTAAAGACCTGTGCTCACCCAATCCCATCCCCTGACTGCTTCCTCCCCACCCCCCAATGTTCCTCTCTTCTCTCTGGCATTGTTACACACACTGCTGTCAATACCTATCCTGCCACCAGACACTGTTTATTTCTCTAACTTTAAAAAAGTGAATTTATTAGTTTTCACAAAGAACAATATCCATATAATTAAAGAACAGTCACTTAGCCCTACGAAAGGTGATATTTGATTTAACAAGACTGTGATTAATATTACTACTGTGCTTTTTCACAGCAGTGTAATCATTGATTTACACAAATTGCCATGAAAAAATAAAATATTTCTTTATTTCAGCAAAATGATCTGAAATTCTGAATAAAACACTGCAGCAGAGAGTAGCATTCATCACAATTATTTGTTTTTCTACAACTCTATATGTTAGTTAGAAGTCATTCCTAATGACCATTAAAAACAATCCACTGCTTTCACCTGTTAAATATAACCATCGTGACAATCTATGACTGAACACTAAGTAAGGGCCGGAAAAGTGTGGCCAGAAATCAAATAAAAACTTAAAAGCCAAAGATTAGAGGCTGACCAACTCCCTCTTCTCCGCTTTGGCCAGCAGCTCCAATAAAGCAGATGTAGACAGGCAAGACTGTCCCTGAATTCTTTCAGGATCGTGAGGGAACCATCTGCTGTGTCAAATCACTCAGGGTGACCAGCATGTACAAACCTAGAGACAAATTGTTACAAAGCTTAAATGACTAAGATTCACATGCAGCTTTTACCCAGTATTGACTTTGTGGACTTGAAAAATGCTTTCTTAAATTAGTTGCAAAGTAGGTAGCAGAATGTAAAGATTGGTTATGGAATTTAATGTCATTAATGTGAATAAATAAAGAAACATTTAACTATACATCAGTAAGAGATGTATGTATCTGACCAAGACCCTTCAAATAGTCATGGCGGTTCCAGTGGCAGATTTTTTGATAGCCTACCAGTGGGCTTCACTCTTTGGTTGCTACACCTTAAAAACTGTTTTTCTTTCTTCATGCCAACATTGTCTGCCTGGTGACCTGATGTTAATTCTTCATCATAACGCAACTCAAAATCCCCCGACTAGTTAACAAACTGTTAATTCAGGGTAATAGCAGAAGCAGCATGACTCATATCAGAGAATAGACGTTTATTGCATAGGAAACAGCCAAACGTTGGGTGTGGACTGTGCTGACATATGAACATGTGAATACCTTAAATAAATATCATGTTTTCACAGTATGATGTCAATAATACCCCCCTTGGGAAGGTTACAGTTGGACCACATCCTCCAAACAGAGCTCATATGGTTCCTGTTATAAGGCCTGAGCCGCAGCACCCACTACAGCATGCACTATTCACATGTTTAGTCTTTGAACCATATCAAGCGAAATATGCAGCAACAACATGAACAACCAGAAGGGTTTAAGGTGTGTTTCTTTTTCTTTTTTTAACCAGATTAAGAGTTGTGGTAGAGAAGTATAAAAAACCTGCACTCTTCCTGTGGGGTGTTGGGTTTCAGTGTGCTGGTTTGTGGTGATAGGTTTCCTGTTCTCTGACTCATTGAACAAAGTGTAGAGTTTGACCATATTAGGTCATCCCTGTCACGTTTCCCTCAGTGATGCTTTGCAGCTGCAGTTTATTTAGACGAACTTAGATAACAGCACAATGCATAATATGTGCCAGACGCTTCTTCTGCTGAGAGGCAGTATTGTGCAACAGCTGCAACACAACACAGCAACAAATGAATAAGATCGCTTTGTGGACTTTTAAGCTTAAGAGGGAAATGGATACTTAAATTTCACAGTGCTGCCAAATGTATCCATTTCAGTTCCAGCTGGAAAAACTAAACTCATGACCAGTGATGACACCCTCAGGATGGAGCATTGTGAAACAAAAAAAAAAAACATGATACTTACTCACTGTATGACACAGACAACTAACAGAACTGCAGACATGTCTGCTTCGGTCATTGTTTGCTGTTTGCCAACAAATGCAGCTGTATATTTAGTCTGTCTAACAAATACAGTTTAAGTGGTAGAGATTTGTTAGGTAAATCATTTTCTCTACTTTTCTTTCACAGACTTACCTTATCTGCAGAGGTGGGACGCATGAGGGAGACTCGGTCATACTGCCGTTGCAACAAAGCCCACAGAGCATCAAGGCGACCCTGATAAAAGACAGAAAGTGATGTTTTTACATTTGTCATCATTTGCAAGAATGAAATTTTAGATATCATTTTTTAGATTTATTTTCATGCAAGCTGTATTCTATCTATGAAATATGATGTAATATCTCCTTAATAAGAATTTCCTTATGTAGAATCTGCAATGCTTACACAAAAAACAGTAAAAACAGAACAAATCACCCAATAAATTGTACACATAGGAAAAGAAAAGGCCAAAATTCACCGCCAGACCAAAAAATGGTCTGACATTGAATTTTGACATACCACCACTATGTACTGACTAATTGAAACCTCTTGTGAAGTTGTCTCAGTTGATTCCTTTATCATTAAAGTAGCATTTATAACTTTAAACATGTTATAAATAAGCATTAAAAAATATTTCAAACCTACCATTTTGGCTTTGATAACATTTTAAGATTTAACATTGTCACATTGGACAGTTTGGTGAATAAAGACGAAGTGAATACGGTTCATAAAGCATACACTAATTAAGAACCAGACGTAGCCAGAGGTGTTCATCTGAATGTGAGTAGAATCGCTCACCTTGATGGGAGTGTACCATTTGTTCTCAGCTCGACTGGTGGGGTTGGGCCTTGTGGTGGGGCGTTTGATCATTGGCTCTTCTACATCCTCTGGTATGGACACTTTGGCATTTTTGGCCTTCTCCAGGCGAGCCCCCTCCTCAGTCGAGCCCTTCTCTCCCCAGCGCACCTGTCGGGGAAACATAAAAGAGAGATGTGAAATGATACTGATCTCACAATATGATTGTTAGGAACTAAGATCTTTTATTAAATCTAAGTCATGTAGCATTTCCTTTTATATGCCGAGTATGTTTGTAGGTCCATATGGAAAGGTAGGAACCATTATAAGTTTTGGAATTTTATCTGACTGTTCACTGTAAAAAGGGTGGACATGTTTTACTCAAAGGTACATAGGGCATTACTCATAACCAGAAAATAAATAAATAAATAAAAACATTGACAAATATTTTCATGGCTCAATAATGTTTTCCCTAAAAGATAAATTAGTTATCAGGTTCGCTTGAGTTGAAAGTATTAATCTTTAAAAAAAAAAATGAAAAAAAAAAACAGGAGAGGGCTAACCAGCACAGGGCCGATATGAGAGTTTAACAAGGTAAAATTGTATTTTTGTTTCTCTATTTATAATACAGATGGAACAGTGTGTGCGGGCATCTGAGAGCATGTGAATGCAAGCCACTGATAGTTAAGCTGTGCTGCTTTTTAATTGAAATCATCACATCTGTTGCAAGGGGGAGATAAGAAAAAAAATCTACTGTCACATGAACAGGGAGAGGTGATTAATTAGCGACACAGTTTTCAAGCTGTAGGTTAAGCCGTGACAATATAGAACAGCTTTTCAGAATCATCTCTGGGATATATCCCTGGCCTGCTGTATCATCAAGAAAAAGATAGAGCTGCTATGAATAAAAGATATGTTGTCACCTCTATAAGCTTAATGATTGTTTGAAATATTGGCAGCTGCAAAAGCGAAACTGGGGGTTTTCTCAGCATGACGCCTTAAATGTCGATGCAGAGGAGCTGTTGTAATAACAAGCACGTCGTTTTCCATGCTCAAGGGAGGGAAAACGTTCAGATATGGAGATAGGCTTGTCGAAGAGAATCATCCAGCTACAGAGAGACGTGAGACAGGAGAGTCAGACCTGTATCTCACCAAAACTTAGGAGATACAAGAGCTCCCTGAGGATGCAGAGACATGTCTTCTGCAATGGCACCAACTTCCTCTGAGCTGAGAGGCAGCAGAGGGCTAAAAAGGGAGGGGGAAAGAGGGGGCTTACAGTTAAACCTTGATTCCTTTCAGAGGACGTAGATAACAGAGGAGCTGGGGAATGATTAGAAGTTAAGGAAGGGGGAAGGAGAGAGGAGAGTTGAGCGAGGTAGATGTGTCAAGTTGACAGCAGCGCTCAATCATTCATCCAAGCCATGAGTTGATCCAATCAGGCCCGCGTGGCCAAGGATGAGATGGCAGGCCTGTCATGTCAGAGCCATCAGCAGAGTGAAGAGGACAACGGCCTACCGGGTCAGTCAGTTACTCTACCCACTGCATGTACAACTCATCCAACTTTTGAGCATCAGCAGGTTTCTTTGACAATGCCAGTTTAGAGGATTATACCTGTCAGACATGTCCCATCTCCTGCTGTCTTGGCTCATTGAATTATTCTTCTCCATAAATCTTTGTTTGGATGTTCCATTTTAGACAAAGAAACCTACTTCACGATCACCGTTTGGTACTGACCTCCATACGCTTGATTCCTCCAGCTCCTCTTCCTCCATAGTATGAGGCATCTACAGTTGGCCATTTCTTCTTTGGAAGGGGTTCTGGTTCCTGGGAAAAGAGGAGAAATATTTTGTTTTAAATTCAGTCCTCAAATGTTATCAGAAAAGTCCATTTAATCAAAGTGTCAATAATAAAATGGGTGGGGATATTTCATTAATATCTCAGTTATGATTATACAGGAGGGAAGACTATCGTAAGCTGCTAAATTTCTGTCAGTCTATAATTTTTTGTCTGTGGATAAATGGCCATCATCAAGAAAAATATTTAATTTAACTTTAATTCCCCAGCAAATCAATCCCGCTTTTCAAAAGAAGCTCTTCAACATAATTTACAAAACAAACATATAGATATCTATATTGATTTAGTTACACCTCTGTAATTCATTAACCAAAAAATACTCTTTTCAACTACAGTGGCAAATGTTTCTAGGGTTTTTTTTTTTTTCTTTTACGTGTTGCTCTACAAAGAGAAAAGTACTTTTGGGTCCCATCACAGAAAGCCAAATCGAATAAATATTAATATAAAGATGGTACTGAAGTATATCTTAATGTTAAGTTAATGTTAAATTGGGCTCACAGGTGGAGGCGGACGGACAGGGGGAGGAGGTGGTGGTGGGTCCTTGATGACCTGAATAAAAAAGAAAAAACAAAGGTCAGCACAGTTCATTATGACTCATGCACTTGGATGTTATCAAGACAGAGGTGAGGCTGACAGAGGTGATTCATGACAGTGAAACAGCTAAATGGAGACATCCCTGAGCTTATCTTATGTAAAATGTGCTAGGCTGTATTCTCACTGCAACTGGTGCCCAATCGCTCCACTAACTACTGATTACAAGAAATCTGCTTGTAAACCAATGTCATGGGCCCCCCGTGCAAAATAAAGTAAAGCTGAAAATCAACTTGTTGACAGGGGAGTCTTTGGGGTGAGCGCTGCTGGCCGTTTAGCTTTTAATTAATTGGATGGGGTTCAGTGCTCCAAAGCAATCCCCCCAATCATAAAGTCCAAAGGAGTTAATTAGCTCCAATGATATGCAGAGGAGGAGGCTTGGGCTCAGTTCCAAGTCCTGTCTGGAGGCAGAATGAGTAGCAGAAAAAAAAAGAGAAGTAGAAAAACACATACACTCAGATAACCATGGAGCACCTCTCCTGAGCGATCAGCCTTGCGGCATTGTTCATGACAACAGTGGCTGACATAGCACCTGAGGAGCAGGTTGTCCACAATGTGATTCCACTCAAAGACAAGATGCCTCGACCAGGTTTTTCAGATGTGCAACGGAAGCAAAGAGAAGCCTGACACTGGCATTTGTCAATCAGGCGGTCACACAAACCTGCATACAACGACAAATGTCACTCACTAGCCGGTGACAACTGTGAAAAGATACTTTGCTTATTCTCTGTACATCATTAAAATTATATAAGAGTTTATGAAAGAGAGTTCAAACCCCACGCATAGCACCAGTAGTAAAGTGGTAAAGGAACTCATGATCGAGAACTGGAGAGACACGGCATAGATATCAACCTCAGCAACCTTAGTAACCAACTATTACACATCTAAGTTGATCGTACAAAGGAAACACAGGGATGATCCTCCTATTACCAGTTAACATTGTTTCATTCTTTTACAACACATTAAACCATAAAGAAGACAATCAAACAGTGTTGCAGCATCAGTAGAGTGCAAACTTCTAGTTAAAAGATTCAAGTATAGTATTAAAAAAAGACCCAAGTGGCAGGAAAAGTCAGAACAGGGAAGCAGCAAAATCCAAAAGTACAGAAGATTTGTTTACTCTTTAATTACTTAAAAACTAAAAGAATGTCCACAAGTTTTTCCATGTTTATACGTTCTTTGTTATCATTTAAAGCTCATTAACAAAATTTGATGAGATAGGACAGAGTCCTTCCTGTACAGTTCTCCGCCCAGATTTCCCCAGCAATGGTCTGAGATAAAGACTACCTTTATAGTTTCAATCTCAGACAATCATGGACCCTGGCCTTAAATACAGAATGGGTCGCCCATAAACACTGGACAAACAATCACACTAAGACATGTCCTGATTGCAGGTGTAAGACCGTGTGGAAAAGACACCACTGTTCATCCATTAACATGGACTCATACTCCAGTTATGCATTTGCTAAAGTGGTTTCAGAGTGGAAAAGGAGCAGAGTGATTATGGTATATCATAGATCCAAACAGCTGTTTCATTCCCTGTTAAGCTCGGGGAAATCATCAGACTCCCTGCCCACTGTCCTCATTAGAATGATGAAAAACAATCAATTAGGGTTAATTAATTCTTCTTTGACACAACTGGTTGCACGCAAATCCTATAAAGGTCTAGCAATGACCTCTCCATACGCTGATTAACATCACTTCAGCCACACCTTACGTTGATGGGATTATCTCTTTTTATTAAGTAATTATGCAGCAGATTTCCTGCACATGTTGAAAGCTAAATAAAGCATTATACAAATAACGGGACTCCGCTGCTCATTCCCAGCAACCTGAAGGACAGATGTGAGCGCTCTGCGATGTGGTGGCAAAATTAAAAACTAAACTGCAGGATACTTAACCATCTGACACCAGCCCCAGCGGCTTGCCACTGCAAACGCGACACCGGGGGGAATCAGACCAATCAGAGGCACTCAGGGCACTGTCCCCATATGGCCGTCTCCATAACTGGACTTGATAATCCGTTTGTTCCCAAATTCAGGCTCAAATGGTGTTGCGTCAAGCTGTTTTGGGAGGCTTATTGTGATGGATCAGTGGCAGGAAGCATATTTGGAAGATAAATAATATTTGTGCTAACCTGTCAGTGGGAAATCATTCTGAAGGGCACAAAAATGAAAGAAGATGCATTGTTGCCACTGCAAAGTTTGACAGCTTCCAATGTAAAAAATATTACACATTCTGATAATTTGAACATATTAAGCACAGATCGAATTGAGAATGTGTCCAAAAGTGAGTCCAATTTCGCAGTCACTCATTTGTAATTGGGATAAACTGGCAACGCAATTCCAAACTTCATCTCCAGTCCTGACTCGTTTGATTTAAACAAAAGGCTACGAGAGAGCTTAATTTCCCAACAAATCATAAACAAAGAAATTACCACCCCACAGCTTGTATGACCTCTTTTCTGGCAACAATCCATGTGGGTAGAAGGAGAAAGACTGAGTTTGTGGGAGAGAGATTGGGCAACGAGTGTGTGTGTGTGTGTGTGTGTGTGCATGGCCTCATCCCGACTGCTGAAACCTGGCAGACTGGGGGTTTAAATATTAACAAGCCACACATGGCCCTCCTCTTCTGCCGTGTCCCTCGATGGAAGGCAACAGCAGCTCCCTCCACCAAGACAAACACGTCTGCGGCCAGACATGCTGCAGGGGGTTTACATTTTAATGCCTTTGTTAGTTTTCCAAAATATGCTTCCATCTCATCCTGGATGGGATCCCTTCAGGTCCACAAAGCCAGGTGATGTCTATCATTTCAGGGGTCGGTGTGGTTGAGTAGCAACCAAGGGGATGGTGAGGTAGGGTTAGTGATGAGCGGGGTTGAGGGTAAAATGTGCCTTCATCAGATCTCGACAGAGCAAGGCACAGAAAGAGAGGTGGTGCTCACCATCTGTAGCCCCTCTATCATAGCCCCGAACGATAATCTGTTGTGGATTTCAGTAATTGGTTAAGTGGGAGAGAATTATTTTTTTCCTCAAAGTGGGTGAAGGGTAGAGGATTTTAAAACGGTGATCTCCATGAGTGTCAAAGACTAAACAAACATTCTGTTCACAAGGGACAGAAACACCGGGCAATTTTTGGTATCAGTGAATAACTAATTTTCAGCCTCAAACACATAAGCACATGCTGAGGAAGTTCTTTCTAATTACCAGGCACACCAATACACAAACAGTACAATATGGAGGAATCAATGCCATTCACCGCCAAACTAAATTCAGAAAAAGTCCACGACTAATGAAAATGTTAAATTACTTACCACAATAGCTAACAGGACTTTCACGTGTTTATATAAATCAATATCATTGAGCATTGGTTGAGCCACCATAGACCTTACTTAAATGTCTCTGTGTGGTGAGTGTAACATAGATCAAGATTACAAAGAATTAGACAAGATACCATGCAATTTAAAACAGTTAAGAAAATGCAATGATTTGTCTTTTAAATTCAGTGTGTGGCACTGTGTAAAAAAGCAATATGACTAGATCACTCAAATTATTTATCTGCTTTCAACAAATGTTTTTAATAAGACATTCTACTATTTTCACCAAATTAGGCCTAAATTTAATCATATTCAAGGAGAACACAACTGCAGCATTTTTATTCACTCACTTTTAAAATCTCATTTTAGCCTCAACAGACGGCAGATGTTTTGACAATTCAAATGCATCTTTCTTTATGTTAGGAACCAACTGGATCTAACCACTAAACTGTTTTTTTTTCTGTTGAAAGTGAGGCTTTTGGTAATGCATTAAAATGGTTCACATATCATTATTTGCTTCCCTCATGTGCAAAATGTTGATCCTATAGATGTTTTGCCTGTTTTTCTCATCTGACCATGCTTTAATTCATTTTTCAAATAGCAACAACATTATGTTTGTGACTAACGTGATTGGTCAGCAAGAGTGTAATGTGGTCAAATCTCAAGAACTTAAGAACTGGGGATATGAAAGGTTGACGTTGTACATGGTGACACCATCTGTGCACATAAGAACAGGCATTTGAACACTGCAGATTCTAATCTTCATTTGAATCCTTTTATCCAAAGGTAAAACCATTTTATGGGTACTGAAACCCAATCTTTAAGAGAAAGGGTTTTTAGCAGACTTTTCCAACAAGATTTTTCACGTTTGCACATAAACATACAGTTGTATCTCTGTTGAATTCACCTGAACATTAAAGAGAAGAAGAAAGAGCTTCAGAGAAGCTGCATGCACACTGCGTCTGTGAATTTTTATGTGGAAAAATTTTGTAAAACTATGCACAGTGTAAATTACTAGGTTTATTTTATTTTATTTTGAAACTGAGAGAGGGAAACCACTGTAT